GGCGCCAGCCACCCCCGCCCCCCCCCCCCCCCCGGGGCCTTTTCCCCCTCACAGGTGTGTGAACCACACTCATTTCCCCCCCATGGACCCTGAGTGTCTGGGAAGCTGACACCACAGCTACGTCTACACTGGCATGATTTTCTGGAAATGCTTAAAACAGAACAGTTTTCCGTTATAAGTATTTCCGGAAAAAGTGCGTCTACATTGGCAGGATGCTTTTCCGGAAAAGCCCTTTTTCCGGAAAAGCGTCCGTACCAATGTAGACGCGCTTTTCCGCAAAAAAGCCCCGATCATCATTTTCGCGATCGGGGCTTTTTCGCGGAAAAGAAATCTGTGCTGTCTATACTGGCCCTTTTCCGGAACAGTTTTCCTGAAAAGGACTTTTGGCCAAACGGGAGCAGCATAATTTTTCCGGAAAAACACTGATGATGTTAAAGTAGATCGTCAGTGCTTTTCCGGAAATTCAAGGAGCCACCCCCCCCTCCCGGGGCCTTTTCCCCCTCACAGGTGTGTGAACCACACTCATTTCCCCCCCATGGACCCTGAGTGTCTGGGAAGCCGACACCATGTGTGTGGGGTGGGGGGAGAAAGCGCAGAGGGGGGATAGTTGCTGCGCCCCGGGGAGGGGCTGGATCCCCCTGGCACCATGACAGGGAGAAGGGCCCAATGGGGGAGCCGCCCTGCAGAGCGCTGGTCCAGCAGAGACCGGGCACGGGGCTGGGGGCTGGGCCTTGCTGTGTATGGGAAGCAGTGAGACCCAGAGGGGTTCCTGGCGCACACAAGGCACCAGCCCAGCAATGGCCCCGCTGCCACCAGCCACCAGCGCAGGGAGGAGATGCGGGAGGGAGCCGGGGACTCACCTGATTGTCGCTAGGGAGCTGCTCTGGTGCCGGGTCGGTCCAAGTGCAGCCTGACGGGGCACTGGCCCTGCCTGGGCATTTATAGACCAGTGGGGGAAGGGCTGAGAGGGGACCAGTTATCGATAGTGAACATGCAACTCTGTGAAGATGGCAGATACAGTCATTTCCTACCCACGCAAGTGGCGATAAGGGGAGTCACGATCCACCTGCCAGCTGGTCTGTGGCCAGGCGCACGTGCTTGTCAGGGCTCAGCTAAGAGATACGATAAAAGCTGGTCCTCTTGTCTCTCCCTGCCAGTGCTGAGATCCATGGGGCTGTAGGGAACCCTCTCAGGGCTATTGGGGTGGGTAGAGTCAGACCCCAGTGGGTATGTCTGGGCAGAGCTATTGGGGTCACTGGCATCACACCCCAGGGGGTACAGTACAACATGGGGAACGGTGGTATTTGGCCGTGACTAATACTTTCTGCAGCTGTGAAAGGCAAGGGGCTAAGGCCTGCAGGGCAGCAGAGGTCACAGAACACTGAGCAGAGGGCTCAGGGCAGGCATTGTGGGATACTGGCAGAAGCCAATTGTCTTCACAAAACAAACAGCGGAGGCCACACTGGCTATCCATTGACAGTAAAAGGAGGGGAAACGAAAAAAAGTCTCTCGTAGGGTGAAAATTGTTTGTCACCAAAACGGGGCATTTCCCCGACAGCAGTCGAATCGCAGTGAGAATGGTCCCCCTGTTTTGTTGCTGAAGGGCAGGTTTGAGTGGCAAACTTTGGTTGTGGAGACCAGGCCTAAAGGTTTAGCTACACAGTAGCCCCAGAAGTGTGTAGCTCAGGAAGGCGTCACTGGGCCAGCTGTCAGCTCGCTGGTGGGACAGAAATACGCAGTGAAGATGCCGTGGCCCAGATCCTGCCTAAGGTAGCCAACTTTCTACTCACACGCAACCAAGCATCCATGCCCCACCCCCTACCCCACTCCTCCAGTGGGGCTCTACCCTTTCCCCGCGATCCTGCACGGCTAACGGCTGTGGCCCAGACCACGCAGGGAGGAGTGGAAAGTGCTTTGGGGGATAGGAATAAAATTCAAACCAGAGAAATGGTCTGAGGTAAATAGCAAGAAATTCAATACGGACAAATGCAGAGCGCTCCACTTAGAAAGGAACAACTGCAGCCAAAATGTAGCATTTTAGGATTTGTATAAGACTATAATAAGTATAATGAAGGCTCTAAGTTCTGTATGTTTGGCTTATAAGCTCTGTATCCTTCTGTCTCACCTTCCCAGCAGCCCTTCCTGATTAGCGGGTAGGAATGGCTTGTGCTGTTGGTAGATCCGCCTCCGGTATGCTAAGGCAGGAAGAGGCCATGATTTCTTAGGGTCATTTACTCTATCTTAGGACTTGGTTTTATGGCAGTTTGCTATTAGGTTTTGCTTCTTGTCTGCATCATAGACTAAGCTGTGCTTAGGAGTGTGTGACGGGACGACGTCCGTGCCCTGCACTGCGGAGGCGCCGTTCCCGGTGTGCTGGGGAGAATTGGTGTCCCCGCACCGGCCCCGGTGCTGCGCCGCCTGCTCTGCCGTGGACAAGGAGGGGGTCAGGGGTGCGAACAGGCAGAAAGCGCCCGAGTCCAGCGATCCCCTGCAGACGCTGAGAAGCAGCGGAGCCAGAGGGCTGGCTCCCACCAAACCTGTGCATGTGCAGCGCCTCCAGTGGCTCCGGGCTGAGCCAGAGCTAGCAGAGAGGCAGGAAGGAGGAGTGGCCTGAGGCGCCGACGTAGGTCCCTCCTTGGCACGTGGGGCGTCCCGGTGGCGGGATGCTTAAAAGAGGCGCCGCCGCCAGAGGCGGGGGAGGAGAGCGGAGGAGACGGGGAGAGCAACCCAGTCTGGATGCGCCGAGGAGGCGGAGAGAGAAGCCCTGGCGGAGAGAGCAGACCCA